CAGTCAGTCAGTCAGTCAGTCAGTCAGTCAGTCAGTCAGTCAGTCAGTCAGTCAGTCAGTCAGTCAAATCGCATTCCAATCAATGAGAGGTGGGAGGTGGGGTAGCAGCCTATGTAGCATCGTTGCACGTTAGACGTTGGATTCAAGTCGCATGCGCGCATTAACATGCAGATTGGCCCAGAGGATGTTTCTTGTTTCGCGATACCTCTTCGTAATGTGACATCTTCGAAATCTTATCCGTTGAATTACCAGTGTCTTGCAGTAGGCAACTGTGCTCTCAAATCAAGAGGTCTGTTGCACTTGCAATACGTATGTCATTCGTAACATTTCGCCACTGGCGCAATTCATCGGCACGATGCCCGGTGTGCCAGCTAATTCGCATCACTTGTGCTGGTGTCTCTTAGAAGTGAGTTCAGCGAGCGAAGACGGATTGAGGTTTAGAAGGTCAACGTGATTTCGTCATAACCTTAATGCTTCTTGTTATTGTTATCAGTGGTATACTAAGGTGCTGCTTTCTAGCCATGCAAATGAATAGAATGGTCGATGACAGATAGGTTGTAACCTGCTCGTAGAAGTAGGGTGAGATCTATGTGACACAGGTAACGGCTGGGATTTGTTTCTTATGTACCACCTAAACATTTCTTACCAATTATTAATTCTTTTCGTGCAAACCTTCATTTCACTTCTTTCCTACCATGGAACCAGCCGGCGAGCTAGTCATGAGTCACTGAGTGCTAACTGAAGGATACCATGACGTATCTATGTGCCAAACGTTTTCGGACTTACAAAAATGCGATTCGATGGGCTAACGGCAATCTACGCGCGAACTGATGAGCCAAACTTCAACCCTGCATTAACTTTCTTCGTTCTCCGTTTTATTCATCAGTTGGAAAAGCATTCGGTGAAGCCTCTAAACTATTCCGTCAAAAATATGGCTCTGTCGTCAAGTTCTACATATGTCGTAATTGCTAACTGTGAGCAATCATTCCGCACAAGAGTGAGATTCGGTCTCGTAGTATTTTAAATTGTAGTTTTCATGTAATTATTTATTGTTACCGTATTGTAATATATTCACGTTCACGAAGATATCACTAAACTTTGCATCACCGTTATTCTGAGGCACCTCCAAAAATGAGGTGCATATAAATGCTAGTTGGTTGAGTATTGTCACTTGGCAATGTTCGAAGTGTATTTGTTCTACCCAATGTTGGTATGTGATATGAGGTACACGCACTAAAATGCTCAAATACCATAGAGCCCTGGCCCATGGAAAAATTTCATGCGATTACACTATGCAAATCCAGTGAATGGGGAGGTGAACTTTCTTCTGCGGGTTTTAATTGGAGTTTTTCTCACCTGTACAGATGACAATATGTATGCGGAACTTTGTCAGCCCTCTCTATCATTAATCTCATGACGTTTCGTTTGCGACCAGTTTTTAGGTCGGGTTAGAGGTTCAGTGTCATTACTAGCGTTGCAGAGGTGCAACGGCGCTGCTTCATCTTGGCATGCAACCCCGCTCACTTATTGTTGCCCACTTTTTACATTAGGCAACCGAATTATCATTGACATTCTAGAGGGATGTCTAAGGTTCCAAAAAATTCTTCGATTTAACATTCCCTCTTATTCATAGTTTCTTAACTCGTGCTTTGGCATATATTTCAGTTCAAATGAAATATTATCGATGCATATCAAGAACCTAACGAAATCTAAGCGAAAGTATGCCAATTTTGTTCCATATCATTTTGTGCCTGCGTCGCGACATATAATAGCAGCTACAATTCAAAGGCTGCAAAATTTTGGGTTCATCAGCTCTTCAATAAAATTGACACTTCCCACTCTCTGTAGCAAAGTATAAACCGATCTTGAAATCTTTATTACAATTGCCAACGTTTCAGCCAAGCAACAATTGTCATTCCAAAACGATGACTATGAAAAACAACGAGAATTGCGCATTCTTTTTGGCTGTAAGGTCGGAAGCCTCACATAGTTCGTAACTGTGTGTATGTTTTATGTCTACGGCAACTGAAGTATCAGTTTTATTGAAGAAGACAACGAAGAAGACAGTTGAAGTGACTTTTAAACCTCTTTTATTAGTCCTACTCATGTATGCTTCAGAATTCGCTTCATCAACTACAGAATCTTTATTTGAATCTTTATTTTCAGGAGATGTGATTTGCCAACTTCTGGAAGGCCTATCGGAAGTGTTGCAGCGGAGAAACGACGGCGAGAGATGTTGGCGAGTGACTGCGAAGGGTAAGTCTAGAGTGCACGTGACATTTTGCAATACCGATGCAAAAAATCCTGACTGCTCGATTCGGGTGAAGTGGCATCAACACCCAGTGGGTGACACCAAAGGCCTTCATTCCATCGATACGTTTGTCCGGAACGTGAACTTGCGGAAGCATTTTCAAATAGAAGATTTCGATGACGAGTTCTTCGACAACGTTCTGCAGTTGCTGTTCAACCAAAACGGCCTTAGAGGAAGAAGCTGAAGTTCTAAACTTTGGCACACTTGCGAATCGGATAGACGTTTCATATTTGCAACGATGTTCCAACGAGTTCCGGATCAGCGGTCTTCGGCGGTTGCTGTGCCTCAGACTGTTCGGGAAACTGTCACCACTTTTCGATGTCTCACACAGGATGTTGCAGAAGCCATTGAACAGCCGTGCAATCTGTACAGATGCTACCCCGTCATCAGTGCCTCGTCGCCCACTGCCAAACTGCCGCCTTTGGTATCGGAAGACAAGTGCCTAGGATTGTCATCGCCTAATTGTTAACAGCTTCTTTATAAAAGCTTGCTCATCTTCTTCGCGTGTTTGCAATGTACGTTGTAACCGTAGTCGTAGTCTCTGAACGGTCATTAAATGGACACATTTAAGGGAACCATTCGCCGATATGCGATGAACATTAAAATTATTTACCTATGAGATAACGCGGACCGTATCTATCGTAGTTTCTGAGAGAAGAAAAAGATAAGCAGTTTCGTTCGAAAGGATGTTCAGGTGCATGAAAATACGCAAAATAAGTTTATTTTGCTCATAGACGTTCTGACTTTGAAACGAGTTTTATATTGTGAATATTTTAGCATTTTTTATGAGATTCCAGGGAATGCAGATTGAATATCATTTGGAAGCCGATAGTCGATGGTTATTAAATGTCACAGAATCTCATGTATTTAACATATGTTATCATAAGGATGTCATTGTTATATATTGCGATGAGTCCCACAGTCTGCTTTCTAACAAAACGACGTGAAATGGGATCTCAACGCTACGTCATTTTACTACTGGCAGAAATGTGATAACATATACAGCTCATAAGGACACCATCTTGTCGTTTATATGGTATATCAGTAACAATGGCATAACCAATAGCAGTTTCAAAAGCACGTTAATGCTGTTCTTACCGTTATCGCATTTGTTTTTTCTTGGCATCCGGGATCGCTGCTTTTCATTTCTGACGATCACAGAGGATTGCATTATTTGGCACATCATTCAACTGGACCAGTTGTATTTGCATGCTGCCGGCCAAGAGGGAACTTCAAAATCAGCTCTATCACTGTTCAATCAGATCAGAACTTTCCGCCTCTTTTCCACCGTCATCCAATCGTTCACTGTAATGGACGTGATATCGTTTTGTGGATATCGGCGGGACGGCCTTGGTCAAGGCAGTCACCATTCTTTCAGGGCAGTACATAGCTGGATGGTGTTGCAACGGACATGGATTGTGTGACGTTGGATATATGGCGAGATGATTCGCAAACACAGTGGTCAAATGAATCAAATTTCCTTCTGGCTTTGGCAATTAGGGTCTAGTTGTCATTTCCATCAAATCAGATGAACTGAGTGACGACCTTCGGAATTCGAAATTTCACCTGGTGACTGATTTTCGGTCGTTTCCACAGGAACTCGTTGAGTTGGAAGAAAGAACCCTACTGCCAGTCTCTGAATCGTAATTTCATGTTAAGACTGGATTAATGAGCTGAGGTATTTGAAGCGACGGCTTCCTCAGGGAGAGTGACAGGCAGTCTTTTATCTTGCTCCGGGGTAGCGTTCAAAATATTTTCTTTCTTGCTACACTGATGACTAGTCATACCTTGAAAAGAGTGAAACACAATGGCATCTCGCAATGAAGAGTGTGCCAATTCAGTAACTGCCAGCACAAACGAGTTTAATGAAATAAACGAAAAATTTTGCTTCAGAGAACAGTGAGATTCTGAATTATCTAGGAAATATTAAATTATATAGAGCAGTCCTAATAAAAGACTCTTCTACGTTGTTATAGGTACTAAATTTTCAGCATCAGCATGCACTGAAGATTGTGCATCATTCTATACAAAAGTTTACCAGACTTTATCTTATTTTGTGTCATATTTAGGACATTGGAATTTTGATACGACGCAAATCACGGATTTCAGATTCATTGCATTTAAACTGAGACGCTTGAAACTGCTTAAACTTTGTGCATAACACGAGGCTCTGTGCTGTTTGAAAGATCTATTACATTCACAGAAACAGTAGGGTTTTGAATGTTTCTCAATTTTCACACGGAATAGAAAGATCCTCGCAAAATATCATCTGAAGAGGGAACCCAACCCCTGAAGGTTCTGAAGAAAGGTGGTTCACAAGACGTGCAAAACTGATCGACAAGGGTACGCAAATATGTAATTAACAGTGGAATTAATTAACAGTGTCAGTATTAATTAGCAATGCAGTAATATGTCTTATCTCAGCAAAATTATAATCTGATACTGCACGGATTACGTTGAAATGCATTTCCTGAATATTTTTCATGACAGGTCTTTGTGGAAATTGGACTACTGATTCCACGGTTGGCAGCATGAGAACAATTGTTTGTCTTTAGATTTTAATTCTAAGTGTCCGCATAAGAAAACTAATGCCATCGAGAAGTGGAATGTGCACAATTTAATGATAAATGTATAGGCATTCCGCTAATCTTTTTAAGGCTACCTTAAAAGAAAAGCTGCGAAAAGCTGCATTCGAAGTATCTACTGTAATGTGATGCAAAATAGCATTACCTATGACATGAGATTTATCCATCTGGTGAGGCTGATAAACCCAAGGCCAAGCACTACTCATAGGTGGATTAATTACAGTAGGTCCGCAAGAAGCTGTGATTTCATTTGCTTAGAGGGCAGATCAAGCTTAAATGCCTGTTTTCTGCAAAGTTTTACATATTTACTATTATCCACCATGATCTTAAAAATATAACTGCTGAAAGCATAGCTCCTCGCCAAAGTTCGAAGAAGAAACCAGATTTCCAGAAGCTTTGTGTGTCAGGAAACAAATCTGTCTGGCAACAGATAAACAAGCCAGAAGCTCAGGTTGATGCATTGAAAACCCTTCTCCGTATCCACGTCTCAAGCAAAGCATGACATGAATGTTTGAAGCTCTTTATCCATTTAAAAGACATAATTGCATGTTGTTGTATGAAACAAGCAAAAAATTATGTTTATCGCTGTCTTCGGCTTAATTAAGTGATTGTAAGTACTGCTGGAACTAACTCTCATAGTTTGAAACTGTGGTTGTTCACCAGTCGTCGAAATGTCTGTTTGTGACTGAAATATTAAGTAAACATTTGGGCTGAATTAAGATTCAGGATGCGTTAATAATAGTTCATAATAGTTCATGATAGTTCGCATTCTGAATGGTCTGACTAACAACCATATAAAAAAAACTTTCAAAAAGGAGAAAGAAGATTGTATGAGCGTCAGTTTGAGTTTGCGGAGCGCCCGCTACGAGGACAGGCCGGATGAAGAATGTGTGGTTTTGATTTTATTCTTCTTCGATCCCAAACAAATGATTCAGTGAACATGCCCTACTCACTGTGCATCACCGTCAGGAGCTGTTATCCCCTGCACCGGTATAGAAATCCTTTAATTTGCATTTTAGTGCATACTGGTATGGAGACTGAAACTAATTTGCCTTTCAGTAAAAACTGGCAATGTGTGGCTTTTACCGTATTACTTCGTGGGCCTCAATCGACGTCAAAGCCACCGCAGAATCTGAAACGTCCACGCAACAACTCTCATGTTCAGGCTGATTTTGTTGTTTTTTCTCCCGACCATCTGAGTTAACTGAGTCTAGAGAGCAGAGCTACCAAAATTTATGAAGACTGACGATTAAAAACGGCATTACAGATTCACATTAGGCAAGTTTCACTGCTGTGGTGAAAGTTTTCTTTATTTTTGCATGCAGGTCTACTTCAGCGAGATCTATACACGTTTAGAATTGTTCTCCCACGCATCTGCAGCGCCACTGCGCAATTCCCAAGAGAAAAATTTTTTCCTTTTATTTCCTTCTTCTTCATCTTCCCTGACCTCTTCTCCTTTCGGGTCGCCGAGGCAGACGCGTCAAACAGTGCTTCCAACGTTCCTGATCCTGGGCCAGAGTCCCAGCTTTGGCAGAAGACAACATGAGTCTGGAACAGACTCTTTCCATATATCATGTTAATATATATCAGCTTAATCTTGGCCGTCCGCTGGGTCTTCCGCCGGTCGTATTCGCAAGAAACAGTTGTTGCTTAACCTTCCTTTATGGAGGCATTCGCAACACATGTCCAAACCATCGCAGCTCTGACTTCTTAATCTGGAGAAGAAATGGCTGTATACCAAGGCACTTCCGGATATCAGTATTCCGGATCATGTTGAGAGGTGTAAGGCCAGCGAATCGTCTCAGAAAGTCCATTTCAGCCGTTTGTACCCGAGATCGAAGTTTTTCAATCATCGTCCACGACTCATGATCGTAAGTAAGTATGGGGATAAAGATCGACTTGAATATTGAGAGCTTAGTTTTCAGACTGAGCTTTGCTTT